TTCCCACAGCAAACAAGCCTGATTTGCAAATTAGGGGTGTCATGGTAAAGCACAGATTCATTTGCCTTTACAGTTTCTCCTAAAAAATATTATTGGATGTGTGGGCTCTTAGAAGACAGAGCTACAGTATATGCATTTCAAACTGCATTAGCGTTTGATTGTATTTAATATTTATGTGTCAGTTGGTGTTAAAAATGTAATAATTTCCTGAACTTTGAATAAAGGTTTTATGGTTGACTCTGAGTAGATTAGTGCAGATATAACTGATCTCAATGTCAACTTTGAGGGTCAAATCAGCATACTAGCAGTTAGCAAGTCTGCCTCTCAGGTGAGGTTCTCAGTTTGAATCTCGGCTCAGGCCGTCCTGTGTCGAGTACTTCATTTCCCGCCCCCCCCAATGCTTGCGTACATCGTCTTTATCGAAAGCAACCAATCCAGAGTTTAACCCGCTTCCTGCCCAATGCCAGCTCAGCTAGGCTTCAGTTCACCCGTTATCCTGATGAAGATAAACTGAATAGATTTTATACTGCAAACACAAAAATACATAACATGACAGAAAGCATCTACAGTGAAGTGATATTTTCTGAAATGCTTACATAACAGTAGAATGACACTAAATATGAGAGAATATATAAAACTTATACAATATAATTATAAAACTTTTCGTATTGTCTCATGAGTATGCAGGGTCAGTGCCACTTTGGGCTACCACAACATGGCTCATGGTCATGTCGGACCCTGCCCGAATTCACATCCTTTTCTTTCCAAACGACTTCTTCAAAATGAGGTGTGCATCGCACACCCTTTTTACCGCTCACTTGCGCAATGACTGGCAGGGCGAGCGAAGCCATGCCACAGGTACATTTCCTTGCTTGTCCCACGTTGCCACCGTCACTAATGACGTTGGGTCAGCGAAATCGGTCAGGTGTTCTCTGCACCGCCTTTTCTTGGCCCCCTCATCAATCAATCACCTAACTGAGCACTTGTGTTTGCGCAGGGAGTCAATGATTGGCCAGGTCGGCACAGGACAAACTTTGGCCCCAGGAACAAGTGGGTAAGGTGTGCATTTGACGGCTAAAAGACACGCAGAGTGGCCTAATAAAAACAAACTGTGAATGTTGGGAGTGTTGTCACGCTGCTAGTTAGTATGTCAGTCATCTGACCAGGGAATCACGCACGCACGCACGCGCGCGCGCACACACACACACACACACACACACACACACACACACACACACACACACACACACACACACACCACGCTGTTAGGCAATAGTTCCTCGTTAGTCCTTCAACACGCTCCCCGCTGAGTGCTGGAAACGGTCGCACTCACTCTTTTCCATTCATTACATGCACTGCCAAGTCAACATGCAATTGTGCTACTTTTATTGATATTTTGTAAGTTTTGAGTACTTCCTCTGAAGCTTCCCACTGTGCTATTATCTAATTAAACTACAGCAATGAAAAGACATACCAGAACATCAAATCTGAGAATTAAAACATACACTGTCCTCCAGAAGTTGCGCAGGGAGTCAATGATTGGCCAGGTCGGCACAAGACAAACTTTGGCCCCAGGAACATGTCGGTATGGTGTGCATTTGACGGCTAAAGGTTCAATTGTAAACTACAACGGTGACAATTCAGCCAAATTTATCCTGAGTATTTGTCACATGATAAAATCGACAGAGTTAACATTAATCACATTGTTTTCATAGTAATTCAATTATTATACTATTTAATGAGGGGCCGGTAGTCCAGTGGTTAGCGCGTCGACCTCACAGTGCAGAGGGACTGCTCCGGCCTCCCTGTGTAAAGTTTGCATGTTCTCCCCGGGCCTGCGTGGGTTTTCTCCGGGTACTCCGGTTTCCTCCCACATTCCAAAAACATGCATGGCAGGCTGATTGAACACCCTGAATTGTCCCGAGGTGTGAGAGTGGATGGTTCTTCGTCTGTGTGTGCCCTGCAATTGGCTGGCAACCGGTTCAAGGTGTCCCCCGCCTACTGCCCGAAGACGGCTGGGATAGGCTCCAACACCCCCCGCAACCCTTGAGGATTAAGTGGTTCAGAAAATGGATGGATGGAGATTAATTAATTTAAATTAAAAACAAAATTCAAGTAGAGTTCTAATACAAGATTGAGTGAGTTATAAAATCTCTCTGTCCAATGCAATCAACATGTTGTGTTCAGTGACACTCAGAACTTGGAAACATATGTCAATTTTTTTTAAATGCAGTGATTTAGATTGCAATTATTATTCACTCGACTTCCACAGTGGTTTGAAATTTGGATTGTGTATTTATATATTGAGAAACACATCATTGTGTAGTGTATAATAGTATGACATTTCATCATTGTGAGTACAAAATCTTATACCTGCCCCCCATCTCACTCCCCATCACCACACACACAAACATATAATGAACTTTGCACACTATGGAGTTACCAGAGATAAACTCGGGGAATGGTCAACTGCTCTAGTGTGAAAGTTTCAAACAATATGACAAAGAATTCCCTTCATTGTCATTTTATATGAATTTGCTATGTTTGAGTTACCGGTACTCCATCCATCCAGCCATTATCTGATTACAAAAACTCAAATTCCCCACATTGAACTTCACACTCCAAGCAGCTGGCAAAATCAGGTGTCAACTACTTTTAGTGCAAAAATATCTATTTGAGGAAAAAGACCACTCTACAGTTACAGTACTGGTAACTTTAAAAGTATAATTTCATTGTTTTTGGTTAATAAAGTCATTTAATACACCAGATTGACAACTATTGTCACGACTGTCAGTCAAAGCGTTGCGTTCAGTGTCATACAAACCGTGTAAAATCTGAAAAGACCGATTGCAAATCGTTAAAAAAAGAAAGAAACGCAGCATTTCAAAAACACCGAGAGTAATTCGTCTATTTACACACCAGAAATCGCATTACGTAGCGTATACTCGTATGACGTTTCACGAGTACAGAACGTCAAAACTCCCACACACACTCGAGGGCGATGAGCCACACAATTGTCAAATATGCTCAAGTCATGTTTGACTCCGAAAAGTTTTACAAACTATTTGACAAAATTCTCCCCCGCCTGTCGGAGAGTTTGCCAAACGAACCAAGGCAGGCGCCGAGCGAACCGAAGGCCAAGAAAAACCTGGACTAGCTCCGCGTTCGGAGCGTGAAACTAAGAAATCACACACGGATCAAGTTGGGCTTTTTCCGGACAATGTGATGCCATGTTTCCGTTCGGTTGGGAAGCTTCGGGGAGGGGGGGTAAAATGAAATGCCTTCAATAAAGTGGCAGCAGCGCGACGAAAACAATGGCGAAACAAATTTTAAACAATCGGGCAGGAGGGAGTTGAGGGGGTGAAAGTGACCGAGCTCCGGGAGCCATAATGGAGAAAGTGGGCCAACCGAGGCCCGCATTCGCTTCCTGACCTCCCGGTCCCTCCCTTGCCATTTTCTTCCTCATTCCCACCCTCCAGCTTCCTTCCCTCTCTGCCAGTCTGCCTGCCTCCCTGCCCGTCTGAATGCCTCCCTGCCTCCCCGCCACAACCGCATCACAGAGTCGGCTACTTCTCCTTACCTTCCTCTGCTGTTTCTCCCATGCCGGGTCCAGCAGCAAGTCCCGGTCCCAATCATTCTCCTGCTCCATATAGGTCTGCGGCCCGCCAGACGAGTATTGGTTGTTGGCGGCGTGGTAGTCGACCATGTCGGCGACAAAAAAAAAATGTCAAGCGACCAGGGAGGAAAAAATGTCCGGCGTGGTAGTCGACCATGTCGGCGACAAAAAAAAATGTCAAGTGACCAGGGAGGAAAAAATGTCCAAACGAACCAAAAGCGAACCAGAGGCCGGGTTTGGGACGGAAGCTCGACGCAGCAAGGAGTCCTTCACTCGCCGCTCTCGGCCGTCACCGTGCAAGGTCTCTTCTTTTTCTTTTTCTTTTTTTAGACTGGAGTATCCGGTGTTCGCAGGCAAGCGGACGGGTGGGGAGGCTGCTCACTCGGAGAAGAAAAGCTTTCCTGAGCGTGGTGCTAGGCTGTTGGGCGGAACCCGGCCGCTCCTACCAGCGAGAGGGCGACAACACTTCCGACGGCCGCCTTCACAATAAAGGAACTGCCTCCATGTTGGGACAACGATATACAGTCCAGTATAAACAGTAGCTCGCTCAATGCCCACAAAAACCTTTACATTAATACGAACAATTTTGATATAGCATTTTGTATTTTTTACGCACATGTTTGTGTCTAAAAAAAAAAAAAAAAAAAAAAAAAAACAAGACCCACATGAAAGTATGAACATCTTGTAGCATTAGCCTATTAGCATAAATGTCAAAGTGTTACAATATACAGTAGCTCTTAATAAATACAAATGTGCTTGCTAGGGATGTGTTTTTGTCTTATGTTTGTGTAGATTCTCAATCATCCAAGTCTTGATATCCAATAAAAGGTTGAATCGAGGCAACTCTTCTCGTTAGTCTTGTTTTTTTTTTCTTTTATGTTTTCTAAAAATTTAAGAAATTACAAGGCCAATTATGCTCTTAGGCTGAGATATTATCATCTATCGTATTATGTCTGTGTGTGTGTGTGTGTGTGTGTGTGTGTGTTTGTGTGTGTGTTTGTGTGTGTGTGTGTGCGCGCGTACTATAGGCGGCACAATAATCGGCTGGTAAGCTCAGAGTGCAGAGGTCATGTGTTGGAGTCTGGGCCCAGCATTCCTGTGTTTGCATGTTCTCCCCTTGCCGGCATGGGTTTTCTCCAGGTACTCCAGTTTCCTTACAAATTTCAAAAATGTGCGTGGTACGTTGATTGAGCGCCTGAAATTGTCCCGAGGTATGATAATGGTTGCGAATGGTTCTTTGTCTTTGTGTGCACGATGATTGGCTGGCAACCAGTTGAGGTTGTCCCCCGCCTACTGCTCGAAGACAGCTAGGATAGGCTCCAGCACGACCACGACCCTTGTGAGGATTAAGTGGATTAGAAAATGGATGGATGGATCAAGTATAATTTCTCTAAATTTCAATGCAAACTAATAGAATAATATTTATTTCGATGAGAAGCAACACATGTGAGAATCGACACACACAAAAAAAGTAGGATTTTTATAGGAATGCAAAAAAAATAAAAGTAATCATAATAATACAGTATTTCTTTGCAAACTTCGGTCTTTGAGGGACACAGTCTTAAATGTTTTAGATGTTTCCTTCCTCCAACACACCTGTTGATCAGGATCGTTATCAGGCTCCTGAAGAGCTTGCTGAAGACCTGATCACTTGACTTAGGTGTATTGGGGTAGGGAAACATCGAAAAGATGCAGGATAGTGGCCTTCAACGACCAAACATTGTCACCTGTGCTTTAGACCTAAGTCCATGTCACACTGGGATACACATTGGGCTGCTGTTTCTTTCAGAATATTCAGTCCAGCACTACATTTGTATTTCATCCTTCTTTATCTCCATTCTGTTCACATTTTTCTACCGTTGAAAATTAAAAAACTTAATCTAATGTGATGTACATCACTCTATTTCGTGGACTAAACACTAATTATGCTGAAAGACAGTGATTATCTTCATGAAAGCAAATCAGATAATGGGCATATTTAGTAAAAATAAATGAATAAACATGACGGGAATTGTTATTAACTGTGAAACTCAAAAATAGTATCGACTGTCTCTTTATTGCTTTTATTTTGAAGGCGAGTTCTCAAATTTGGAGCCTGTGATAGTTTTGTGTGTACACACACACACAAATTTATGCACTCACATACACACAAGGACACATCGCTGCATATTCTTGTAACCGTTGAACCGCAGTGTATGAAAATGAAAAGGTTGATGGAAATCTTATTCCAAGTCTGACAAATTTTCTTCGGGAACAAACGTTTGACGTTGTCTGGCGCCCTCTAGTGGAGTTTTGTGTATATATCTATCTATGTGTGCGTGTGCGTGTGTGTATGGCAGCACAGTTGGCGAATGGTTAGCATGTCCGCCTCACAATGCAGTAGTGCAGGTTTGATTCCAGCTCCGGCCTTCCTGTGTGGAGTTTGCAAGTTCTCCCCTTGCCTGCGCGGATTTTTTCTGGGTACTCCAGTTTCCTCGCACATTCCAAAAACAAGAATGGCAGGTTAATGGAACATTCTAAATTGTCCGTAGGTATGATTGTGAGTGTGAATGATTGTTCATCTTTGTGTCCCCTGCGATTGGCTGGCAACTAGTCCAGGGTGTACCCCCGCCTGCTGGGATAGGCTCCAGCACACCTGCAACCCTCATCGTGAGGATAAGCGACGATCAGATAATGGATTTATGTTCCGACTGCATTGTGCTTAAGAATAGTGACAAGGCACAGCAGGGTTTCTTCTTGTGTTGTTTGCGTTTAATCGTCTCAATCACAAAACCTGACGATAAAAGCAAAAACGATGTCCTCCCCTCAATTATGGTGGTACAGCGTGCCCCTACGCAAATTATATGGCACAGCAATGTATTAAAAGATTTAAACTTCGAAGTGAAATAAAGTTTCTTCAGCTCGAAAGATGCTTCCCTCCCCATGGACATCAAGAGAAAGAGGGTCAAAGGCGTGAGCACAATTTAAAAGAGGCAGTGCCACATGTAGGGGAACACATAAAAATATTTGTTCCACCTTTTGAGAATGGAGGATACAGTAAAAGAACATGTAAGGTATTTATCATTTCACAGATTTTGTGTAATTAGAATGCAGTACAGTTAGTATTTGATATATATATATATATATATACTGTATATACACATACATACACACACACACACACTGTACTGTACATATACTCAGTCACAATAAAACAAAGCCTCATTAATCACAAATAATCATCAGAAGTTTTCAAAGCAGGCACATAGAAAAAGAAGCAGCGATGTTTCAATCATGGCCTGAACAATAAAAACTGTGCTTCATGTATCTTTCCGTCGGTGCAGCTATAGTTTACATGTGTAACATCAAGGCCTCACACATGCAGAGCAAACACTGGAGGATATCCCGTGACTCTTCTGCCTCAGTTGTAAATGGTCATGTGGAGCCACTGAAACACAACACAATTACTAGTTTTAAAAGCTTTAAATGTCAAACGTAAAAATAAATCCTGGAGGAATGACGTACTTGTCTGTAGTTTAATGAAATGCAGCCCATTCCCACCATGTCATATGCATGAAATTTGTCTGTTGGAGAAGCAAAAATGAAAGTGAGATGTGCAAGACAGTTTATAAGCCTTTAATCAGTGCTTTACCTGATTAATTTGCAAATGAATACACAATATGGACAAAAGTATTAGACCACGTACAGGAAGAAAACTTCTTCTGTGATGTCATCTAAACCACACGATTGCCCCCCCCCCCACACCATAATCCCACCACGATCGATTCATTAATTTAGGAGGAGCTGCGCCTCAATATTTGTCTGTATCGCATCCATTATAGTTCCAGTGTCCTTACGGATCATGCTCTCCAGTTTCATGACGAGGTACAGGAAGCCAGGGTAGCTGATGGTCATGTCCGACTCCGTGTACCTCAGGCCCACCAGCTGCATCACCAGGTCATCCACCACGATGCCTGCAGCCGACACATTGTATAGACAAGGCAGATTTGAGGGTTATTTGTCACTCCAAATAAGACGTTATGCAAGTTTCTGGACTAGCATCTCTTCAGACTGAGTCCTTCATCACATACAAGACGTTCGATCAAGGTCTGACTTGTGATGTTGAAATATTCACCATCTGTTGAGTATACAGTACTTGTTTGAAATTTTTGGGCAACTAGAGTCAATTAGCCCAGAACACTTTAATTTAAGTCTTCCATTAGCCTTCAAGTCATACCTGCGGCCTTCAGAGCGGGGGCCACTTCCTTGTACTCCAGACGTTGTGTCTTGTTCTTGTCGTATACCAGAAAGATGTCCTAAAATGAGGTTAAAGAGTGTGTAAAACGCGAAATCCTGCAGTCTTTAAATCCAACCTTGACTTACCGTCCACAACCGGATCTTGTCCCAGAGTGCTTGGAACTCTGACCATGTTAGCTGAGCAATCCCTTGACTCTGGAGGGAACATTGGTGTCAAGAAAATTCTCACATGAAATGAATTTTGAATCTGAGACTGAAAAGAGTCAGAGGATGGGGTTGAAGTTGGGGGTTGAGGATTTAAGTTCGGCTACCCATACACAATAAATTGAAAATCCTTGGTTTGAGAATCAGAGGCCGAATTCTCATTCATCCATCAATCCATTATCCAAACTGCTGAGCTTCACGAGGGGCGTGGGCGAGCTCGAGTTGTCAGCATTTTGTTTGTCTTGTCCTAGCTCTCTTCGGGCAGCAGGCGGGGTACACCCTGAACGGGTTGCAAGCCAATCGCAGGGCACACAGAGACAAAGAACAACCAAGAGTGATAAATTAACCGACTGCGCATGCTTTTGCAATGTGGGAAGAAACCGGAGTACCCGAAGAAAACAAAATTCTCATCTAATAAAGCTTTTGGAGTGACGGTTGAGGATTAGCTTGGAGTTCGGGTTTGGAGCCTAACCCTGAATCAAGCTTGTGTTTTTGCAAGTGTGTGAGTGTCTTTAAGGATACGTCCATGAGGACCACCAAGCTCTTGCAGTGTTCTAGAGCCAAGTTCTTCTCACTGCCTGCCAACACTGAACACAAGAGAACATTATAAAAAAAAAAAAAAAAAAAGTTAGTACATATTAGCTCAAGTACACAACATGATTTATGCACACAAGTTACACGCTTGGGCATGTCAGTCCGTCAGTCATCATTGTCTCATTATTTCAGGCTGGCCCAGTCCCGCGGTGGCTGCGACAGCCAATCGGCGACGAAAAAGTATTTACTATGTCTCACACACACACACACACACACACACACACACACACACACACACACGCACACACACACACACACACACACACACACACACACACACACACACACACACACGCACACACACACGCACACACACACACACACGCACACGCAAAAAAACAACAACCTCAAGAGACGCATGCACGTGGAATTGGTGAAATTAAAACAAAATAGTGCAATGCCATTGCACTCTATGGGACCAAAAGACATACAGCAATGTTTTGGTGTTTTGTTTTTTTTCAACTCGAGTTTGCATGTGCTGCACCTTCTCTCTCTCCTATGGTTGAGAGGAAATACATTTCATCTGTGCTGTATGTTGCACATAGAGTGCATTTGACAATAAAGTTGACTTGAACTTCCTGTGATGTAGTAAGTACGTTCTCAATGTCGATTGACTGTCGCCCAACGACGACAGACTTGGCTGGCCTGAAATAATGACGAAACGATGACCGACGGACAGACGTGCCCACCTCTGATGGTTTGTACATCATGAACACCAATGGTGTGGACACGTTTTACCAAACTGTGGCGACGGTTACGCTATAAACAACGCCACCAGATGGTACTGTTTCTCTTTACAACAACCTTTCACAGTTCCATTCCTATTTAATCACAAATTCATTCAAGAAAATCATGTGTAAAATTTCTCAGGCTGCTTATCACTTTTTTTAGATAATTGCCTTCACCCGTGTCTTACTTTCCTTCCATTGCTCCCTGTCCACAGATGTGCCAATATTTCTTGAAGAGGCTAATAATTTGTTTTGTTTGATTGATGTCTGTTTGCCTCTGTATTTTTTTTATAGTTTACTTTTTGTAAAGTGTAAAGAGTCTTTGATTTCTTTTGAAAAGCGAGAGATAAATTAAATGTATTGTTATTAGGCACGAATTCTGCCTGGCAACAAATTACCACTGACCAAGAATTATGTTGAACAGAGATTTTGGCAGGAATTTTGAGTGTTTTATGAAACAATCACCAAGTGTATTGTTCAAACAGTGCATAATGTTATAGTGGTTTCAACTTTTTTAAAATCCAGTCCAGTATAATTGGTCAGTGGAGTTATCAAAGTGCTATATAATTGCCCAAAATCTTTCGGTACATTTTCAACTTTTATTTACAATAAATTTTAATTCAAGAATTATTTAAAGTTTTATCTTATACGTTTTTCCTATATTTAAGCATAGTGCCAATGTTAAAATTGTGCATAATGATTTTGAAAGTACCTAATTATGTGAGGCAGGATGTCATGTCATCATTTGAAAGTTTCTCTGGGTTCTGCATAAAAGGCAAAGGGCAGATCAATATGTAACTGCGCCACTAATTTTGCAATATCTCTGCATGAAAGGGGCCACAAAGTAAGATTATGTCACTGACCTCCTCCCTGGATGGCCTCGGTCAGCAGGCTGTGAAGGTGATGTGGTTTGCAAAATCCTCTCTAGTGACATAAAGTATCCAAAATATTAATGAAATGTGAATATATTTGAAAACCTCTCAGTGACAACCGCTTTTCGAACCTTGTTGCAGTGCTTCTTGAAGAGCTGCATCATGGCTTTAAGCGAAGGGAGAGCTGCCTGATGGGGATAATGAGGCTGTTGGGAGAAATTAATCAAGTCAGAAAGAATTTTCATTATTCTATTGAAATTGCCAATGTGGCTAAAAGCCTTTCACTGTACAAAGTGCATAACTTACTGCAGTTATTGAAGTGAGGTCACGTGTGGGGTGTTGAGCTGGGCTGGAAAACACACAACAGACTTACTTTTCGATGTGAATATATCTAATTTATATATTCTTTGGTTGCGTTATTTAGCTAGATTGTCAACATGATGAACAAAAAGGCTCAATTACTTTACGGATTTTAGCAATAAGCGACAGGGCTCGGGCGCGATCTGAGACGCATCGCAAGGTTCGGTGTAAAATCAGATCCAAAGAAAAAGGACTCACGTGGCGGCGTGGCCTTGCTCGGTCAGTACCCGCAGCAGGAAGGCTCCCTGTTGATTGGGCTCGGCGGTAGACGGGATGATGACGTAGCGACCTGGCTGGAGGTGGCCACGGAGAACCACTTCTCGCCGCGATGAGTAGTAGCTGCTGCTCATCGCCGGCCGGAGCTTGCTCAGGTCTTCAGGTGACAGGTGGGTGCCCTCGTGAGGTGCCTGGAAGGGCCAAATAATAATTAGTCACCTCCTAAACAGGATGTTGAGCCCTGGACTATCCGATTAAAAGCCATATGTTCTACCGACTGAGATATCCAGTATCTGCACAAAAAAACAAACAAACAAAAAAACTTACAAGCGAGTCAGCAATGTAAAATGCCTGAACAAGGACATGAAATGTGGACCTTCAGATTAAAATTCTCATGCTCTACCGACTGAGCTATCCAAGACATAAAGCACTGCTGAGTGTGTATGAGATAGTGAGAGCATTGTGATTGTGAATCCAAGATTAATAGTTTGATGCTGTATAAACTGAAGTACACAGAGTCTGGAAAGAACCTGTGAATGTGTATTTGAGTGTGCATGTTAGACTGAGTGGGTGAGGCTGTATAAACTGAAGTACACAGAGTCTGGAAAGAAGTGTATTTGAGTGTGCATGTTAGACTGAGTTGGGTGACTTGTGATCATTATTCTGAGCACGAGGATTTAAAATGTATCGCCTGAACAGGGACTTGAACCCTGGACCCTCAGATTAAAAGTCTGATGCTCTACCGACTGAGCTATCCAGGCTCTGTGTGGACTTTCCAGACTTTCTTGGCAGACTCAAATGAATTCATTGTTTATGTACTTGAAATCAAGGACAAACGTTCTGAAGAGTCAATGTTATGACTCAGAACGATCAGCTGACAACAACAGAAAAATGTCTATTACGTAAAGTTAACGATTACCAGGTCAACTATATCGCCTGAACAGGGACTTGAACCCTGGACCCTCAGATTAAAAGTCTGATGCTCTACCGACTGAGCTATCCAGGCTCTGTAGGAGAGGACATCACCTAAATAAGGACCTGTAACCTGGACCAGCAGCTTAAGTGATGCTCTACCAACTGCGTGATGCAGTATTGACAATGCAAATGTGTGTGTGGATGACAAAGTGAGTGAGGGTTTAGTTTAGAAGGTGAGCGGCAAGATAGTGATTATCTTTAAGAACAAATGAAAGTGCCTGTATAGGTATTTGAATCCTGGACCTTCAGATTAAAAGTGAGATGCTCTACCAACTAAGATACATGGGGTCTTTCTTGATCATGTGAGTGTGTATGTAAGAGTGAGTGGGGTGGGGGGCGTTGTTAAGAGCAAGAGCGATGTAAAACGCATAATGCCTGAACAGGGACTTGAAGCCTGGACATTCAGATTAAAAGTGACGCTCTACCGACTGTGCTAACCAGGCTTTATGTCAATTCTGTGAGTGTGTACATTTAAGTTTGTGTGTGTGTGTGTGTGTGTGTGTGTGTGTGCGTGCGTGCGTGCGTGCGTGCGTGCGTGCGTGCGTGCGTGTGTGCGCGCGCGTAGTGTAGTGTGAGTGAATTCGCGTGTATACCGGGTATATGTGGAGAGCAATGGACAGGTCGATGCCTCTGCGTCGTTGAAATTTCTGCATGAGAGCCAAAATAAAGGCGCAGCGCGTGGGAGGCTCAGGTGATCCATGCTCCACTTGGGAGAGGACCAAGCCAAACTGTGGATTTTGCCAGAACCAACCTGAAACACAAACACACGCAGTATTTAGAAGCAAAACCCCACTGAAGCTGTTCCGTGACTCTGCATTAGAGGTCCCGATCCACCAGGTGACATCGAGAATCACAGATTTGTTTTTCCGAACTCTTTATAATATCCATAATATTATTTGTTTGTCTTCACATGAGAGTCCTGAGTTTTGATTTTCATGGAATGAATAATATAAAAGTAGTATAAAATGTTTACATCAACAATATTATTTGATTATCTTCACAAAGTTTTTGATTTTGACTTTTGAGGTCTTCACAATCAATGTCCTCAAATTACATTACAGTAGATCTTTTTTCTTCTTTTTTTTTAGCTTTGCTTCGAGACAAGAACATACAGTTTGCTGTTATGCGCAATGTGACTTGAAGAAATAAAAACCCTCGATCATATGAAAAATAAAAACAAATGTTCTTTTGTTATCTTGTCATATTCATATTGTCAACCCTTGCTTCAGGTCACTGGGATTAATGCAAAGATGCTCTGCAAAGAAATAAAGACTATTTCAAGCCTTGAAAGTTTTTCTTTTTCTTTGGTGTGTTTGTGTCTGAGTGTATTTACCCCCTTTGGGAGAGCCCCCGGCGGAGATATGTGGCACCCAAGTCCCATGATGCATTGCGCACGACCACGGTTGCACACTGGCATCGTTCTGAAGGTCGGCCAGATGACAAACCTCCATTGTCTCGAAGTTCTGCCGGAAGTCAGACACCGACATCCTGCACAAAACAGTGATTTTTTTTTTTCTCTCTCACTTCTTCACTGCTTTGCTTTCCATCATGTTCTCCTACTTTGATCATTTCTCTCTTACTTTCTTTCTCTTTCGCTTTCATAATCCTTTTATTTTGTTCAGTAACATCATATACCGTGTGATGTTATAGCACGTGAAAACTTGTTCCGCTTACCAGTGGAACTAATTTAAAATTCAAGACTTCAGCTTTGGTCTGTCTTGGATATTGTCTTGAGATTCAAAACTTGTCATTTTCTACTGTGTGTGCTGAAGCTCTGCTTTCCTTTCTATTATGTTCGTCCTTCCTTTCTTCCTTGTCCCTTTAATATTATTTGCTTCCTCTTCATCCCTTCCTTTCTCCTTATCCTCCTAAATCGCTCCTGATTTTTATCCTCTTTTGTATTTTTTTAATTTTCTTTCTCTTCTCTCCATCCTTCCATCCATTCTGTCTTTGCGACTTCCATTTTGATGTTTCTAAGGACTTATTATAATACTAACCTTAATCTTTTTTTTTTTTTAATAAACTCACCAGAACTCTCCGTCCTCCCGCTGGATTCGGTGCAGCCTCTTTTGCTCCTCGGCGCTCACAGTGTTCCACTCTGGCCTGCAAAAGCAGTTTTTGTAAAAGAAATTAATTAATATATAATAATAATAATAATAATAATAACAATAAATATTTCAGATTGCCTCCTGCATGAATGAATAAGGCTCAAAATTTGAGATACATGTTTTTGATTGGTTGTCGACTGTTTATCATACATAGCACTATAATAAGCATCTTTCGAGTCAGTAAAATGATGCAAACCCATTTCGGTCACTCCATGGGCCCAGCCACTCTGTGTTGCCCCACGGGTTGAGAATACGCACCAGGTCCACAGGTCCATAGGTGGTCTGCACCTGAGGGTTTAAATGTGAGTTAAACATGTCCATCTAAACTTTTGTAAAAATAAGACGCTAGTTACTGCTGTCATCTGGGTTAGCATTAGCTTAAGCAACACCGTTTCAACAGTGCGGGCCCACCGGATGAGGCCTTTTCTCTTGATATCCAACAAGTCTGTCGTGTTTGAAGAAACTGTACAATCAACAGCGAATTTAGAGTAGTTGATATAAACAACCATGTTGCATGATCGTAGTGCGGGTTTAATCTGATTAAGCGCTCTGTTTTTTGACATGGCGCCCTAGTCAGCACCTACGTTAACTGCCTAATGGGTTTGCACGTGCGTCCACTTTGGCGTTTGCTTATTTCTTTTCATTGGCCTGTGGGACAGTCCGATTTGATCCCTTCCAATTCTGCCTTAATTAACAAGAACAGAAGACAGATGTTTGTCAGTTAAACAGCATGTGGGAGTGGTTGATGGGGCAGTTTGGATTTAGTTATGTGAATTCTGCCAAGCAACAAGTGGCCATTTAGAGACATTTTTATCTTTCATTCATCCATTTTCCGATCCGCTTTATCCTCACAAGGGTCATGGGATGTGCTGGAGCCTATCCCAGCCGTCTTCACGCAGTAGGCGGGGGACATCCTGAACTGGTTGCCAGCCAACCACAGGGCAAACATAGACAAACAACCATCCGCACTCACAGTCACACCCAGGGACAATTTAGAGTGTTCCATTAACCTGGTGCGAATGCTTTTGGAATATGGGAGGAAACCGGAGTACCCGGAGAAAACCCACTCAGGCACGGGGAGGACATGCAAACTCCACATAGGAGGGTCGGAGCTGGAAACAAATTAGCAATAACATCATCATATCAGGCGAAGTGTATATCTCCCTAATTCAGTCTTTTGTATTTCTGTTCAAAGTTTTTTTTCCTCCTGTTTTGAGCAGCAAATGATTATCAACTGTCAAATTTACCAGACATTTAGAGATGATGAATAAAAACCCACAAGAAGTGACAAGCATCATTTTACCTTCTCCACGGCAGTCAGCGAGTAAGCATGTCTGAACATGATTCCCAGATCATTCCTGTACTCCACAGGACCCTACAGGGGAAACACATCCATTCAAAAACTCATTAAAAAAAAAGTCATGAGTCATATCAGATAATACAAGTATCTTCGGGTGGAGTTTTGGAGAAAAGGTGGCAGGATTAAAATCAAGATGTGACTTGACAGGCCTTGGCACCTCTCACCTGCGTGTTGGCACAGTTGATGAGCGCTCCTTTGGCTAGCAGCTCAGCCAGGAACGCCGGAAGCTCCCTGGGAAGCACGGCCACACTCAGAACCTCAGCCACCCCACCCGTCATGTCGACCATGGCCTCGTGAGGGAAGCCCATGTCCAGGGCGCGGTAGCCGCCTTTCAGCCTGGATCACACACAGAACACTGTAACTGTCAACTAGCTATCGTTTTGTGCGATCAAAATGAAAGGGCCCGCCACCAAATTTCATGTCGATTGGTCAAATTTGTATCCAAGGTTATCCATCCATCCATTACCCGAATCGTTTATCCTCACAAGGGTCATGGCCGTGCTGGGGCCGATCCCAGCTGTCTGCAGGCAGTAAGCGGGGGACACCCTGAACTGGTTGCCAGCCAATCCCAGGGCACACATAGACGAACAACAACACACTCACAATCACACTTCGGGACAATACAGGGTGTTCAATTAACCTACCATGTGTGATATTGAAATGATTTGGAAAATGAAATCTGGTAGGCATGTCTATCATGAATCGACTCACAATAACGTCTCAAGAAGACATGCCCCGAAAGAAAGACATTTTGGTTTGACGTGCATTTTTTTAGGGCCATTTTGCACATTTCCAGGCACCCTTCAAAGAGGGAGATTTTGTCTAATAACTGTGAAATGTTAACCATATATACTACTTGGCAAATGGGTGATGTTAGATGGCAAAACATTTGGAGGCAGACGGGTCCTCACTTGGCATAGGCCTTCTCGAGCAGGGAGCTCCAGAACTCTCGTTTTTCCGGTGAGCTGAGGTAGATCAGATTGTTTCCATAAGTCGGTAGCAAGTCGTCGATTCGGACGTCCTCCCACTGACCGTACTGCCAGAACTATGGAGGGCAAGAAGGGACATTATCTCACTGATCAATGAAACTTTACCCTTTCATACACCAATATTGATAACCTGTAAACTGATAACCTGATTAACTGTCCACTGTAGTAACCGCCGTCCCTGAACGGGTTAAACATTTGTTCGAAAATTATGTAATTCTTCAGAAAAAGATGTGTTCTGACAAGAATTATGTTCGATTTTTTTCTACATTAAAAATTCAATTTTTTCCCCCTCCTTTTAGAATAAAGTAAGAATTGGGGGGGGGTGTAAATGCCATTTTTATGTATTATGTTATTCAATATCTTAGTGTTTTGCAAAAGACAAAAATGTGTCATGTTATGAGACTGAATAATTTTTTTCCAGAAAAAGAGGCATTTTTAACAAGAATTGATATTTTTCTGAACAACAGTTTTATTAAACAAAAATAAAGTCATATTTTTTTATTTTAAAAACAATCTAATCTGAAAGAATTATGTTTTTTTAGGGGAAAAAGTCACGAGAATTAAAACAGTGTTTTGTTCAACATTAAAAAAAAGAAAAACTCCTCTAATATTTTACCTTCATTTCTCCAGATAAAATGACCCCTTTAGTCTAGAAAACATACGACTATACCCTCATAAACTTGCATCTTTAGTACCGGTACAACCTTCTCCCCCCCGAAATTACAACTCTATTCTATGTACAATTGTTTTTGCTTCTTTATGGTTTCCTGCGGTGCATATTGAAACAGGTTATGCCTGTGGTTAATGATCTCTCCCCTTGGCAACAGGATGTGTCACATTGAAACCTTATAAGGTTCATGTGAGCTTCTGCCAATCAAATTAACACAAAGTGAACACCAATAACAACATGGATGTGTTTACCCTGAAGATGAAGCTGCCATTGTATCCGTCCTGGAAGGTTTGTCCGGGAGGAACCACCTTGCGGAGCAGACGTTGGTGTACGGCCAGAGATGCGATGGCGGAAAGCAACCAGCAGTCACCTGAGGTAGCGGGAGAAGTTGAAGAAAAATAGCAGGAAGTTAAAATATTGCAGACTTTCCTCGACAGACACTTTCACAATGTTTTGAAAATTCACCTACCAAAGCATGTCTTTTATGAAAAGCCCGCACCCCCAAAAAATAAATAAATACAGTACATCTAAAAGTTTGATGGGGTAATCAGACTTACGACTGTAGTGGTAACGCGACCTACAAACGTTTGGTAGTCGATCATAAGCAAACCCACAAAAAAAGTCTCAATAAACTATGTATGAAAACATAGGAAGTCCGCCATTTTGGTTTGGAATTACAATTTTTGGGTTATTAAATAGGACATGAATGTTTGGAAGATGCAGCCCCCAAAGCCAGTTTATTTCAGCAACATGTCTATCACGAGTCAACCCACAAAAATGTCTCAAGAAGCTATGCCTGGGGAAAAAAAAACCCTAAACAAACAGGAATTCTGCCTTTTTGGGTTGAAGCGACCATTTTGGACATTTCCAGTTGTCCTTCAAAGAAAAACTTGCCCTAGACTTTCAGATTTAGTCCATTTGCTACCACATTTGGACCATGTATATGAGACGGATGGCAACACTAAATCGATTTAGTCTCCTTGTGCACTCACTTAGCTTTCCTTGACGGACGTCCAGGCGTGACGCTCCATCAACAGTGAACTGAGGCGACGAGCACAGCTCCTAGCATACAGGAAAAAGTGTACAGACGACCACGGTTGCACACTGGCATCGTTCTGAAGGTCGGCCAGATGACAAACCTCCATTGTCTCGAAGTTCTGCCGGAAGTCAGACACCGACATCCTGCACAAAACAGTGATTTTTTTTTTTCTCTCTCACTTCTTCACTGCTTTGCTTTCCATCATGTTCTCCTACTTTGATCATTTCTCTCTTACTTTCTTTCTCTTTCGCTTTCATAATCCTTTTATTTTGTTCAGTAACATCATATACCGTGTGATGTTATAGCACGTGAAAACTTGTTCCGCTTACCAGTGGAACTAATTTAAAATTCAAGACTTCAGCTTTGGTCTGTCTTGGATATTGTCTTGAGATTCAAAACTTGTCATTTTCTACTGTGTGTGCTGAAGCTCTGCTTTCCTTTCTATTATGTTCGTCCTTCCTTTCTTCCTTGTCCCTTTAATATTATTTGCTTCCTCTTCATCCCTTCCTTTCTCCTTATCCTCCTAAATCGCTCCTGATTTTTATCCTCTTTTGTATTTTTTTAATTTTCTTTCTCTTCTCTCCATCCTTCCATCCATTCTGTCTTTGCGACTTCCATTTTGATGTTTCTAAGGACTTATTATAATACTAACCTTAATCTTTTTTTTTTTTTAATAAACTCACCAGAACTCTCCGTCCTCCCGCTGGATTCGGTGCAGCCTCTTTTGCTCCTCGGCGCTCACAGTGTTCCACTCTGGCCTGCAAAAGCAGTTTTTGTAAAAGAAATTAATTAATATATAATAATAATAATAATAATAATAACAATAAATATTTCAGATTGCCTCCTGCATGAATGAATAAGGCTCAAAATTTGAGATACATGTTTTTGATTGGTTGTCGACTGTTTATCATACATAGCACTATAATAAGCATCTTTCGAGTCAGTAAAATGATGCAAACCCATTTCGGTCACTCCATGGGCCCAGCCACTCTGTGTTGCCCCACGGGTTGAGAATACGCACCAGGTCCACAGGTCCATAGGTGGTCTGCACCTGAGGGTTTAAATGTGAGTTAAACATGTCCATCTAAACTTTTGTAAAAATAAGACGCTAGTTACTGCTGTCATCTGGGTTAGCATTAGCTTAAGCAACACCGTTTCAACAGTGCGGGCCCACCGGATGAGGCCTTTTCTCTTGATATCCAACAAGTCTGTCGTGTTTGAAGAAACTGTACAATCAACAGCGAATTTAGAGTAGTTGATATAAACAACCATGTTGCATGATCGTAGTGCGGGTTTAATCTGATTAAGCGCTCTGTTTTTTGACATGGCGCCCTAGTCAGCACCTACGTTAACTGCCTAATGGGTTTGCACGTGCGTCCACTTTGGCGTTTGCTTATTTCTTTTCATTGGCCTGTGGGACAGTCCGATTTGATCCCTTCCAATTCTGCCTTAATTAACAAGAACAGAAGACAGATGTTTGTCAGTTAAACAGCATGTGGGAGTGGTTGATGGGGCAGTTTGGATTTAGTTATGTGAATTCTGCCAAGCAACAAGTGGCCATTTAGAGACATTTTTATCTTTCATTCATCCATTTTCCGATCCGCTTTATCCTCACAAGGGTCATGGGATGTGCTGGAGCCTATCCCAGCCGTCTTCACGCAGTAGGCGGGGGACATCCTGAACTGGTTGCCAGCCAACCACAGGGCAAACATAGACAAACAACCATCCGCACTCACAGTCACACCCAGGGACAATTTAGAGTGTTCCATTAACCTGGTGCGAATGCTTTTGGAATATGGGAGGAAACCGGAGTACCCGGAGAAAACCCACTCAGGCACGGGGAGGACATGCAAACTCCACATAGGAGGGTCGGAGCTGGAAACAAATTAGCAATAACATCATCATATCAGGCGAAGTGTATATCTCCCTAATTCAGTCTTTTGTATTTCTGTTCAAAGTTTTTTTTCCTCCTGTTTTGAGCAGCAAATGATTATCAACTGTCAAATTTACCAGACATTTAGAGATGATGAATAAAAACCCACAAGAAGTGACAAGCATCATTTTACCTTCTCCACGGCAGTCAGCGAGTAAGCATGTCTGAACATGATTCCCAGATCATTCCTGTACTCCACAGGACCCTACAGGGGAAACACATCCATTCAAAAACTCATTAAAAAAAAAGTCATGAGTCATATCAGATAATACAAGTATCTTCGGGTGGAGTTTTGGAGAAAAGGTGGCAGGATTAAAATCAAGATGTGACTTGACAGGCCTTGGCACCTCTCACCTGCGTGTTGGCACAGTTGATGAGCGCTCCTTTGGCTAGCAGCTCAGCCAGGAACGCCGGAAGCTCCCTGGGAAGCACGGCCACACTCAGAACCTCAGCCACCCCACCCGTCATGTCGACCATGGCCTCGTGAGGGAAGCCCATGTCCAGGGCGCGGTAGCCGCCTTTCAGCCTGGATCACACACAGAACACTGTAACTGTCAACTAGCTATCGTTTTGTGCGATCAAAATGAAAGGGCCCGCCACCAAATTTCATGTCGATTGGTCAAATTTGTATCCAAGGTTATCCATCCATCCATTACCCGAATCGTTTATCCTCACAAGGGTCATGGCCGTGCTGGGGCCGATCCCAGCTGTCTGCAGGCAGTAAGCGGGGGACACCCTGAACTGGTTGCCAGCCAATCCCAGGGCACACATAGACGAACAACAACACACTCACAATCACACTTCGGGACAATACAGGGTGTTCAATTAACCTACCATGTGTGATATTGAAATGATTTGGAAAATGAAATCTGGTAGGCATGTCTATCATGAATCGACTCACAATAACGTCTCAAGAAGACATGCCCCGAAAGAAAGACATTTTGGTTTGACGTGCATTTTTTTAGGGCCATTTTGCACATTTCCAGGCACCCTTCAAAGAGGGAGATTTTGTCTAATAACTGTGAAATGTTAACCATATATACTACTTGGCAAATGGGTGATGTTAGATGGCAAAACATTTGGAGGCAGACGGGTCCTCACTTGGCATAGGCCTTCTCGAGCAGGGAGCTCCAGAACTCTCGTTTTTCCGGTGAGCTGAGGTAGATCAGATTGTTTCCATAAGTCGGTAGCAAGTCGTCGATTCGGACGTCCTCCCACTGACCGTACTGCCAGAACTATGGAGGGCAAGAAGGGACATTATCTCACTGATCAATGAAACTTTACCCTTTCATACACCAATATTGATAACCTGTAAACTGATAACCTGATTAACTGTCCACTGTAGTAACCGCCGTCCCTGAACGGGTTAAACATTTGTTCGAAAATTATGTAATTCTTCAGAAAAAGATGTGTTCTGACAAGAATTATGTTCGATTTTTTTCTACATTAAAAATTCAATTTTTTCCCCCTCCTTTTAGAATAAAGTAAGAATTGGGGGGGGGTGTAAATGCCATTTTTATGTATTATGTTATTCAATATCTTAGTGTTTTGCAAAAGACAAAAATGTGTCATGTTATGAGACTGAATAATTTTTTTCCAGAAAAAGAGGCATTTTTAACAAGAATTGATATTTTTCTGAACAACAGTTTTATTAAACAAAAATAAAGTCATATTTTTTTATTTTAAAAACAATCTAATCTGAAAGAATTATGTTTTTTTAGGGGAAAAAGTCACGAGAATTAAAACAGTGTTTTGTTCAACATTAAAAAAAAGAAAAACTCCTCTAATATTTTACCTTCATTTCTCCAGATAAAATGACCCCTTTAGTCTAGAAAACATACGACTATACCCTCATAAACTTGCATCTTTAGTACCGGTACAACCTTCTCCCCCCCGAAATTACAACTCTATTCTATGTACAATTGTTTTTGCTTCTTTATGGTTTCCTGCGGTGCATATTGAAACAGGTTATGCCTGTGGTTAATGATCTCTCCCCTTGGCAACAGGATGTGTCACATTGAAACCTTATAAGGTTCATGTGAGCTTCTGCCAATCAAATTAACACAAAGTGAACACCAATAACAACATGGATGTGTTTACCCTGAAGATGAAGCTGCCATTGTATCCGTCCTGGAAGGTTTGTCCGGGAGGAACCACCTTGCGGAGCAGACGTTGGTGTACGGCCAGAGATGCGATGGCGGAAAGCAACCAGCAGTCACCTGAGGTAGCGGGAGAAGTTGAAGAAAAATAGCAGGAAGTTAAAATATTGCAGACTTTCCTCGACAGACACTTTCACAATGTTTTGAAAATTCACCTACCAAAGCATGTCTTTTATGAAAAGCCCGCACCCCCAAAAAATAAATAAATACAGTACATCTAAAAGTTTGATGGGGTAATCAGACTTACGACTGTAGTGGTAACGCGACCTACAAACGTTTGGTAGTCGATCATAAGCAAACCCACAAAAAAAGTCTCAATAAACTATGTATGAAAACATAGGAAGTCCGCCATTTTGGTTTGGAATTACAATTTTTGGGTTATTAAATAGGACATGAATGTTTGGAAGATGCAGCCCCCAAAGCCAGTTTATTTCAGCAACATGTCTATCACGAGTCGACCCACAAAAATGTCTCAAGAAGCTATGCCTGGGGAAAAAAAAACCCTAAACAAACAGGAATTCTGCCTTTTTGGGTTGAAGCGACCATTTTGGACATTTCCAGTTGTCCTTCAAAGAAAAACTTGCCCTAGACTTTCAGATTTAGTCCATTTGCTACCACATTTGGACCATGTATATGAGACGGATGGCAACACTAAATCGATTTAGTCTCCTTGTGCACTCACTTAGCTTTCCTTGACGGACGTCCAGGCGTGACGCTCCATCAACAGTGAACTGAGGCGACGAGCACAGCTCCTAGCATACAGGAAAAAGTGTACAGATGTCTGTAAGTATGTTTAAAAAAAAGTGTGCTACTGTACTACGAGGCTTACAGCCAGGTTCCTACTTGTCCCAGTTGTGTGTGCTGTGTTCTTGCTATACAAGTCTTTCTGGTAGTATAGAGTACCATATAGTAAACTACCGGTATTTAAAGTGCTCCCTTCATTGCACCACAAGGAAGATCAAAGTTTTCAGAATCTGAACTGACATTGCCATATCACATATGAATTTATGCAAAAAAAAAAACTCACTCAGAACTCAAATCACCTTACCCGATTGAAATGCCAACACCCCTTAACAACACCAGCAAACAATATGAAACAATCTTTAAATAAGACAAATTGCACCCTACACTAGTCTAGTTTACAAATATATACACTAATAACATATTTAACTAAAATGTAAATGTGAAGGTGCATCATGATTTCATCCTTTTCTGTATTGGATTTGTACAATACAATACAATTGCATTGTAAATCGAGAAGGCAGATGGAGCTGAAAATATAACTTTCGGTTACATTAATGTGAAATATTTGTGCAGGTTATTTTCTCCACCAAACCAAATTGTTGTGTTCTATCTAAATAATACATTTCACATTTGATAACTTAAAAGACATCTAAATTTAACAGGAGAATGATAACTACATTCGCATGTGCAATACATGTTTCATACACACGGGTAAGTTATGTTAATATTAACACAATGTTGTCACTACATTATTCCAAGACGTCAATATTGCAGTGATAGTAAAAAAAAAAAACTGATTATCCAAGGATTTTACAGACCAATAGTAATTTATACACCAATAGTATGAGAAAAAAATAGTCTCCTGAAGTAGCATTAATTTTGTTTATCTACTTTTGTCATTCATATGCAGCTTACCTTGCAACATTTTCCAATTTGTGGACACCACACTGGGTTTATGTATGTTTAAGGTAGCTGGGTACAGTTTTACACACACACTCATGCACGTACACTCATAGGCTACTGCTATAAATTTTACACCGTATTGTATCATCGTTAAATCTATCCAAAAATGTTGAAACCCTATTGCTCAGTCTTTGTTTTCTGCTTGAGAAATGTTATGCTGGTGTGCTCTTTGCCCACATCCTGTTCACTACCTGGGGGCTGAATCCCTCTTCTCCATGAAACTCAGCGACGCCCCTGGGGTTTATGTATGTGATATCTTCTATTTGTATACTTTTTAATATTTGTTTGCATGTGTGAATAACCGAATAATGTAAGTGGTTGACCTTGGGCCGCTTCCACTTGACGCCGGCCTTCATCTCGAGCTCTCCGAGTGGGAAATGATAGTCGACGAAGAGCCCGTCGCGGCCCACCGCCATCCTCTCTCCGTTGACGTCGGCGTCGCTGGCGCGCACGCCCGGGTCGTCCGCCGCCAATAGTTCCGCGAGCCAGCGGCGCGACTGGGAGCCCAGCAGCTCGTCGGAGCACGCCGAGCTGGCGTCGTCGTCGTCCGGCGGCGGGGGTTGCAAGGAGCCCTCCGACTCGCAGGGCAAAGTCGGCGACTTCTCCATCTCTAGGGTACGGTGCAGGGGACGACAGGAGAGTAGAGTTGGCCAGCTCAACTTGGTTCTTGTTTCGGGTGTCGTTCAACAAAGAACAACCCGCCCTCAAAGTAGGTACGTCTCACCTGAGCGTGGGCGGATGACGTCCCTGTCTAGTTTGCAGCCGCTTTTGAAATTTGAACTGCTGTAGGTTGTTTAGGCAAATCAAAATAGGAAATTAATCTATAAATATCATCCAAGTTATACTATGAGGTAAAAAGTTCAAATTTAAAAAGTCATATCGTGAGCGGGCAAAAATAATTTGAAAAGATGAAAGATTCAATATTGTTGTCACACCCCCCATGACTTTTCCTCATACTTTATAATGGCCTCTTTGTTTTCAAATGAAGGCTCCCCATTTTCTCTTTCTACAATTATGATTTTGGGCCCACACATTATGTCTGCAGTTTTTGTAGAATTGGCTTTACCTTTTGACTCTTGTAAAATGAACTTTTCCCTCATACCTAATTGTCATAAGTCACACCTATTTATTTTATAAATCTGCCCGCCACTCCCTTATGGATTTTCCCAATACTATATTAGCTTTGTAAAATTATACCGCACCTCATGACTTTTTTCCTCCAATATTGACTTTATTCTTGTAACCCTGACATTCTCTTAAAGTTGTTTCCCTCCTGACTTTGTCTAAATTTACAATGCTGTTGTTCTTTGCAAAGGATGACTTTTTCCTTATACTTTTTTTCCATGCAAGATTCCCTATTTGACTCTCATACTATTTAATTGTATTCTTGCAAAATGACAACTTTGTACAAAAGTACGTTCTCGCAAGACAGTTTCAAAATTTTGCCATGTAAGGTTTCTTTTCACAACTGAATATTTAACTGTGCCACATCTGATACTCTTTCACTTTGATTCTTAGGTATGTTGTTCAGAAACGTCAGGTTAATAATCCACTTTCATATCATGGACGTTACAACTACCTGCAATGTGTGTGTGTGTGTGTGTGTGTGTGTGTGAGAGAGAGAGAGGGAGAGAAAGAGAGGGAGAGAGAGAGAAGATGAAATCATCACATTAAGATGAAAAAAGGACAAACAAGACTGGAAATTATAATTTATTTTTATTATGTGTAAAAGTGTGTAAATGACCGTGTTTACTCTATGGATGTGTGTGCATGTGTCACTGGGATGTGGCCATGATGCTCGACACGCCTGTGCAAAAAGAAGACAGAAAGAGGATTTTTTTTTTAGTGATGTTTAGAGAACAAAAGGGTAGACATCTCCTCATGTTGTGGTACTGACTCTCAAAGTCGATCTTCTCAACGATGTTCTTGGGCTTGACACTCTCCTCTTGGTTGAAGACAAAGATCTGTCCGTCCTCCGTCTCTGTCCAGTTATACTTGTTCATCCACACCTTGACCTGTGTGTCTGCAATGTGACACACGCGTATCAAAACCAAAGTGTTAACGTGGTAATCTGATTTACTGTGGCTATTTGACCTACAAACAGAGGTGGGAGTACGTCACATTGCGCAATTGTCAAGTTACCATGGGAAAGAAAAAAAAAATCAGGCAAGTGGAGTCTTCGCCAAATTTTAAGCAAGTCGAGTCAAGTCATGACATAGTTGTAAGTGAAGTCATACAATCTTGCTCAGTCAGAATATTTATTGGCGTGTTAAAAACATATTTTCACTGATCATAACCCAAAAAAGTACATTTAAGCTCAAAATGGAAACACAAAAAAGTACAACTCTAAAAATGAAACAATTTAAGAGTATGAAGTTAATTTATGTACACTGATATTCAGATGTATTTTTTACATACGTGAGTGCATTGAGTTGAAGTCAAAGTCAAGTTGAGTTTTCAAAAGTTTTGTTTGATTTTAGCGATTAGCCAAGGCAGGGTCATTTTGAGGGGCTTTTTAATGCACGTTCATGACTTGGGAAAAAAAAAAAATATCACAAGCTGGGGCACTCGTAAATTCCAAGTACCACCCACTTACTGTACTTGGATTGAACTTACCCAATGGGTCTCCCAGCATTTCGGCCAACAGGCGGCGCTCTATCGTCTGGTAGGTGATGCCCACCACATGGCAAATGACTGCACAACAAACACACTTCATTTGCATTGTCAAAACATCACTTTTTAATTTGCCTATTATTGACACAATTTGTGACGGTATTTTTATACATCATTCACTGAAAATTGCACATTTTTTAATATGTAAAAAATAGGACTTAATTTGTAAAATTACATACCGTAATTTTAATATTTATGTATATTCTTGCACAGTCTTTTTTTGCGTGGTGTTTAGGTTTGATTGTACAAATAACTTCTACAACTTTATTCTCTTATATTTATGACTATTTGTATGAAACAATGCCTTATTTTCATTATTTTAAACAAACATCACTGAAAATCACAACCGTTTCCATGTAAGAATTATGCCATTTCCACATAAAATTAGAAATTACTTGAACTATTAGCTATTTATTCTTCCCCGCTTAATATATAATAGAGGCGCAACGATTAAGCAACAAATAATATTTTTGATCATTGATAAAACCTGTAGATACCGTTTTTAACTTAAAAAAATTGTCCCAATTCCTCAGAATTGCAGCTTTGCAACAGTAAATATTCTCCAATATAGGTTGTGCTCCATGATAGCAGACTGATAATCTTTGTGTCGAATCAAAATAAAACATTAGTTTTACTTTGAAAAACAATGATAAATTCTGTTGTCGATTTCAGTTACGTTATGGACCAAACTAGTCAATGAATCAGAACCGTTCACGGCACTTTTAATTTGTAATAATGTCCCTTTGTTGAATTAAACGATGGAATTTAAAATGTGTTTACTTCTTCAGATTCATTAATTAACAAAATAATCAACCGATTAACCGCAATTATGAACATAATCGTTAGTTGGAGCTCGAATATATAATAACGTGCATAATAATAATACATTTTTTATGACATTCAATAATATTACGTCTATATGATATTCAAATTAGTGTCATAAAAATGTTTTTTTTAAACGTTCAAATTCTGCATTTGCATTTTGTATTAATTACCGGTACTTTTAGAAACTCACACTTGCGGACCGAGTCTTCAAAGCCAGTAATTCCATCGATAAGCTCCCGGTTCTCCTCAAGACTTGACTGTGAGGAACAGAAAAAAAGCTTTCTTTAGTCACGTTATAATTTTTTCTTCAATTAAAAAAAAATTTTTTTTTTTTTAATCCAGCAGCCGTGTGCACGCGTTACCCAGAAGCTCTGGAAGTGGCAGGTTTCCAGCAGGTTTCCAAGGTAGAGGATCTGCCTGATGGGGCGCTCCTCTTGCTGCGACACTGTAGTCAAGGAAATGGACCCCCCCAATCCAACTTTTGTCACGAGGACACAATATAGGAAATATCATTTTTCTTAACCCCAAAATCCCAATACATACAATTGCCGACAGAATTACTGCATTTGTATTTGTAGTTAGATTCAACTTCATCCTCATTGTTATTTTGAGTGAGGTTGTAAGGGCACATCAAAGTGAACATCACCCAAAAAATTCACACTTCTAAAAGTATCCCAGACATTTCCTAACAAATTCTTGGAAGGTTGTAGGGACACGTGCAGGTAGTAGCTTCTTGTTTTACGACTAATTTAGGGCATTCTTTTTTGGTGAGAAATTATTGGGGTATTTTATAAATACAATGCCAAATATATAAATGGGTCTTTCAAAAATAGTTGGTTATATTGGTCGAGTCCACTACATTTTGCAATATCATAAAGTAATATAAAGGTAATAGTTTTCAGTTAACAGAGTATAATGTCAGTGATGGACTAATTATATCGAAGTGCTTTTTGTACAAATCCAAGTAAATCTTTGTACGGTTGAAAAAGTAATGTAAGGTAACCCAAAATGTCAGTTTCCGACTACTAGTGAATTCATTTGAAGAATTGTTGGCCAAAACAACGAATTTCCTATGAGCTTGTCAGTAACCCATACTGGCAGTTAACTACTAATGAGCGAATTAACTTTTGCATTTAATCCTACTAAATTCATAATCATTTTTGTACAAAATCCTAAATAAGTTTGCGGTTGTGAGTCCTTTTTTTATGAGTCACATGTTTAAAGTAAACCCAAATGTCATTTGCTACCACAGTACTAACACCACCTGTTGGTTAACAGAGAATGTTAAAAAAAAGCCCAAACATTTCATTTTCCTACAAAGAGTTTCGCCTTTTGTACAAATTGCATCCCCGCAACACCTCGTTCCAGAGCTTTAGTTGAGTACTGTCATGAAAAATAATGTTTAATATTTGTACAAAATGTTACTGAACTTTCACAAAAGCGCATGAACCTGTCAAACAAAATCGTAACTCGTACCAAGAGGATACGTGTGTCTGGTCGATCATGCACTTGCATAGCGTGAAGTCTGTGTGGGGCAAGTTGGTGAGTGCCTTGAGCAGGATTTGGGAAGTCACGGTGGTCTGAAAGTAGGCTGGGTTGAACTGGTACCTTGCAGAAACCACATGACATTGTGACGCCGTTACAAAATTACACATGTTATCGATTTGGGACTCACAGCTTCAGAATGGCCAGGTTGGCCTCCAGGTCGTATGCGTTTTCCCGGGCTTGCGTCTCCACATAACGCTCCAACGTGGACAAGTTTTCTGGGTTGTATCTGACATTTGACGGGACAGTGGAAATAATTACAAATCTTCAATAATAACGTGAAAGCGTCATAAGGGCTAATCACTTCATGAAAAATTTTGTACTAGATTTGGAAATCATTAAAAAATAAAACGTCCCCAAAATTTGTCCGTTTTGTACAATTAAAAAGTATTTTTGTTCAAAATATGCTAGCTCCAATTCAGTAAATGTGTTTTAATTCAATTCATAAGCATATGGATGCAGCTAGCACAAAAACAGATGTATATAGAGGGAGTCCAAATTGAACATCGATCTGACGATAATGTCCATAAAAACCCGAGTGCAAGAATAATTTTCGAGAACAGTTACTATTATTTTAATTAAAAGTGAAAATTGAGACATGTCTGTGCTTTTAAAGCCAGTGGGTAAAAAAAACGTAGCTAGCATTCCCGTTAGCATGCAGCTACTCTCAATGTAGACCGAGCAAACCTTCGTACCTATCGATTCCTCGCAAGAGTTTGGCCACGTTCGCTTTCATCTGCTCGAAAGTCGACGACATTTTCGTCCGAAAAACGAGGAAGGCTGATGCAGCTTGAAGCACGAATTCAATCCCCACACGTGGAGCTAAAACGGACACAGGTGAAGAGAAAAGAGAGTCGGAAGGGAAAGAGCATCGGGCCGGAAAAGAGACGCCATCAGGGCGGAAATGGAATGCCCTGAGTGGGGAAACAAGTGGTAGGAATTATAGCGCTAGTAACACAAGTAACTTAAACTGCGAAAAACTCTCGACACGTATCTAAGGCAGATGACAGTGACGTTACTACCACATGGTGATTCAAACATATCAGAGTATAATCAAATTTCTCAAACACAAAATGTCGAAAATATATTTTTATTCTTGGATTTCTATCGAGCTTTCTCGGTTATCATAATGTCCACTAGAGGACAGCAAATACACGAGGCAGCGTTCGTTTTCACGTAAGTCGGTTTGTTCCTCATTGTGTTTTCACCCAATATGGATCATAATATGTTTGTATTTTATGTCTGGCATTTTATTTATCCGTTTTTAATTATGTACTATATTTTGTAATTGTTTATTTTTTTCAAATGTTTGTTCACTTTTGTCTAATGTGTTCCCCAATGTTTGTACATGTTTAACCCCCCAATATATTTGTTTTTTCTCATATTTGTATGTATTGAGCAATATTTTCTCATAGTTCTATATATTTTCGTTGTATTTTATATTGTTGTCTAATGTGTCTAACAATATTTTTTAAATCACATAGTATTGTGTATTTTAAAATATATGTATTTAAAATGTTTAAATAACTGTATTTGTTGCCCTCCCACAATAGTTAGGGTATTTGTCCAATAGTAATGTATGTGTGTATATATATATATATAGAGAATAAGCGGATCAGAAAATGAATGAATGAATAACTGAGTGATTTTTGGGGGCATGTGTGTGTGTGTGTGTGTGTGCGTGCGCGCGTGCGTGCGTGCGTGCGTGCGTGTGTGTGTGTGTGTGTGTGTGTGTGTGTGTGTGTGTGTGTGTGTGTGTGTGGTTCGGGGAGTCTATATTCTTTATTGACTGTGATGTGCAGCGCTTTGTGTAGTGCAATGCAATCGGCAGTTTAATGTGCAGTGTGTTACAGTGGGTGGAATGCAGTGCCATATACTAAATCACTCAATGTGATTTTCAGTGGGTGCTGCACTGTGGTATAATGTGATGTGTAGTGTGATGGAATGGCCGAGCTGACAGTTTCACACATTTTAAACTGATGAAGCCTGATTCTTCTCTTGCATTTGGGGGCAAATCAATGCAAACTCAGTTCAAATACATTTTTATTTCAGTTCTACACCACAGCTGGTGAGTGGAAAAGTTCATTTTGGTCACAAATCATAAGAATAGGGAAGCGAGTGGGTAATGTTGACTTTTAATATGCACCAGTGGACAGGAAAGCCACACACACACACACACACACACACACACACACACACACACACACACACACACACACACACCCACACACCCACACACACACACACACACACATACGCGCGCACACACACGCACACACACACACACGCACGCACACACACACACACACACACACACACATACGCGCGCGCACACACACACACATGCACACAAACACAAATTTGCATTGATACTGCAAATGAGCAGATATGAGAAGGTGCCGAGTGGCTGATAAAGGGGACCAACAAGTGAGTGAGAAACAGGAAGGTGCATGTATATGTGTGTGTGCGTGCGTACCTCAGCAGCTTCTCGACACCACAAGTTGGAGGCACAGAAAAAGTGGCTGTTCATCAACTCTCACATTAAGTGTATATCTGTGTCATTTTTATTTGCGTCCTTGGGTGTATGCGTGCTCGTGAGCAATAATTCAATCGATTGATGGATCTTCAACACCGAGAGGATTTCTCCACTAGGAACCCTCAGGATGACTTTGAAATCCTGCTGAAGGTCGGATGGGGAACCTATGGTGACGTTTACAAGGTCAGCTGCTAACCTTTTAAATAAATCCACAGCATGTAAAGTGTTTTCTTGTTTATGTTTTATTGCAAAATTAACTTAAGTATCGATGGAATGGAGGATTTATGCTACTGAATCATGACTCCACTCAATCATTCAAAATTATTTTCCCTGTGTTACTTTGTACTGATGTGAGCAACGTTCCAGTATTTGATGTGTTTCTCAATAAGAAACATTTGGCCTCTTTGTCGTACCCCTTTTGTTGCTTTGGTGATGCCTCGCAGGAGGAAGTGGTTTAACGAGCGAGAACTGAAAGTATGCGACAGCACCTGAGTCAAAGCACAATCAAAAAGTTGGCTCCCACTTGAAGGCAACGAAGACTGGTTCCTTGTCCACTTTCTGTCCTTTACCCTCCGATTTTACTACTGTCTCATCTTGTCCGTGGCCCTTTTTGGTCACGTACTGACATAGTTTGTCATTTTAGGATTTTTTTTTTCTCATGTCATTTGCTCTTACTGCTTTTTTTTTTTTTTTTTTTAAATAAACATCAATTTGTCAGTACCCATAACCATCATTAGTATAAAATATCCGTTTTAGTTTTACACCATGTGCAGGTTAAAGTACAATGTCACAAATGAATTTCGTGAGCTAGCTTAATGCTAATGCATAGGGCAAAATGTCAAAGACCAGCTAACAAAACAAGCATTGATGTTTTGGTAGTTATAACCCATTAAGTGATGGAAATTTCAATGCAAATGTAGACAGACAATATAACAATGACCACAGTCATATACTGTATTCTTTATCCTCTGCAAAAAAGAACAAATATTTCTGGAGCTTAGTTGTGTAGTTCTTCGTTCTATGATTATATATCTAAATCTGTATTACTGTGTACTGCTCACTGGTGGCTAAGGGGTGCACACCAGAAGGAGACTAATTGAACTGAATCATGAAATCCATTCATCCATCCATTTTCCGATCCGCGTTATCCTCACAAGGGTCGCGGGGGGTGCTGGAGCCCATCCCCGTCTTCGGGCAGTAGGCGGGGGACACACTGAACTGGTTGCCAGCCAATCGCAGGGCACACAGAGACGAACAACTATCCGTGCTCACACTCACACTTAGGGACAATTTAGAGTGTTTAATCAGCCTGCCATGCATATTTTTGAAATATGGGAGGAAACTGGAGTACCCGCAGAAAACCCACACAGGCCCAGAATCATGAAATCGTATTTCAAAATCAATTTGATTCTTTGCATTCTATTTAATCATGACATTACTGCACCTTTTACTAAAGTAGAATCCAATATTGTGAAGTGTTTTTCGTGCTGTTTTTTTTATAGTTTAAGAACTAATGTTAGAAATTGCAGAGTCAGACAAAAATCCTAGTCCTTGGGAAGTTTTATGAATTAAAAGTGAAAAAAATAAGAAAATGAAGCAAGGTGGACACAAATTGCCAGCACAGAACTCACAGGGTTAAATGGAATTACCGGTAGTAATAATAAAACTTGTTTATGGTAAAATTTACTAGAACAATACAAACAAATTGTGCGTGACCCATCCAGTGAGCATGTTTTATTTGTGTTTGTGTCTAGGCACGTAATAAGCAGACCGGGGACCTGGCAGCTATTAAGATTATTAAAACCGAACCAGGTGAGAATGTTATCCCTTTTGCTTTCTAGTTGCTGAGCTTGTTACAAACATTTGTCTGTGTATCTCCAGAGGATGACTTTTCTACCATCCAGCAAGAAATACTCATTGTGAGGAGCTGCAAACATGCCAACATTGTGGCTTATTACGGAAGCTACATACGGTCAGACTACATTTGAATTGAAATTCCATCGCTAGATGGGTTATAACTACCAAAACGTCAATGCTTGTTTTGTTAGCTTGTCTTTGGCATTTTGCCCTATGTATTAGCATTAAGCTAGCTGACTAAATTCATTTTTGACTGCCATTCCATTCAAACACTGTCTTTGATGTACTGGTGATTGATTGATTGACATGTAGGGTCAACAAACTGTGGATCTGCATGGAGTTCTGTGGCGGAGGCTCCCTGCAGGACGCCTACAGCGGTAAATATGACCAATAATCACAATTATGATCTCGTATCAAGATTGACAAATCTTATTTGATAAGAAGACACGGAATCTTATTTATTTGTATTTCACAGCGACCGGTCCTCTGTCAGAAGCACAGATTGCGTACGTCTGCCGAGAGATGCTTCAGGTAGTCACACCATGGTTTCTATTTCTGTACATAGCGCACGTGTGATCACTGGAAAAACTGGCGCGTCTTCATTTGCCAGGGCAAATCGAGTTTACCGTTTTTGGGAACTTTGGCAGACTGTGCGGCGGCGCTATGCTAGGTCGAAGGTGGTTTCTTCTTTTAGACTCTTGGCCCAGCTGCCAATGTGAAGACTGAAAGTAGACTAGACTTTAGAGCAGCTTGGGGCAGGTCTAAGTTGTGGTGCATATGGTAAATATGACAAAGTGTGCATCAAACTCTCTGAATCATTGTTGAGATCAGTTCATTGAATGACTCATTATTATGTATGTGGGGGCTATGTGGGGGCAGGCGCATTTCACACGCAGACACGAGCGATCGGAGTGGAAGTGCCTACTTCACAGTGGTGATCACCCTGGTCAATTTTTCATCATTCACCAGTCAAGATATTGCAGTTCCTTATAAACGTACTTGTACTAGCACTAGACTTGTGTTGGGCATGAAAATAGGGCCCTCTGTGTTTATCATCATCATCATACCAAACATGATCCTAATGATATGAATACCAAAAACATTATGTGTGTGTGTGTGTGTGTGTGACACTAGGGTGTGGACTACCTTCATGCACAGCGGAAAATGCACAGAGATATCAAGGTGAGCACATTAAATCAGATGTAAATATGGTCTCATACATGTTGCTAGCAAAAACCTCATAACTTTCAATTTAATAAATCATGTATTGGTTGCACCAACATGCCATTTTTGGGGTCTCCTTAAAAAGTGACTGTTTTGGAGGTGCAATAATGTTGCTAATGAGGTTAATGGTATGTGCAATAGGTATGTTGAACTACATTAAATTTGAGGTATAAAGATCGGGAAATATGGTGTGAATAATCAAGTACAATACAATACCACAGAATACGTCTTAATTTATAAAGCACTTTCACAATGGCTGCAGCAGTAACAAAGCACTTTGCAAAACATATAAGATAAGAGATGTCATGATCACAGCATGCAGTTCCGAAATACACACCCGCGCGCCGCACCAACACTCCTCTTGAAAGTGAATATTGAATGTATGGACTATTGGTGTAAATACTGTGTGTAATGCCCGGTGGTCGAGTTGTTAGCGCATCGACCTCACAGTGCAGAGGTGCAGGGGTCGATTCTGGCTCTGGCCTTCCTGTGTGGAGTTTGCATTTTCTCCCCGTGCCTGCGTAGGTTTTCTCCGTGTATTCCGGTTTCCTCCCACATTCTAAAAACATGCATGGTTGGTTCTAAATTATCCCTAGGTGTGAGTATGTGCGTGGATGTCTGTGTGTGCCCTGCAATTGGCTGGCAACCAGTTAAGGGTGTACCCCGAAGACGGATGGGATAGGTTCCAGCACACCCCGCGACCGACGTGAGGATAATCGGATCAGAAAATGGATGGATAAAATAATTAGGTCATATTTAATCTGTATCAACATTACATGTGATGTTAATATGTTACATTAGAGGTCTATCAAGAGTTAATTGAGAGAACCCTTTGTAATAAGGCCAAGATTATATGACTATGGAGTCCCGAAGAGTTGTATCCATAGCACCATCATGTTTTGTGTTTTCCTTCCTATGTATTTTTTTGATAAAAATATTCGTATTTTTTCAAATCCATTGTGGATTGTACATCATTACATATGAAGTATCTTACTGTAGAGATGTGTTGATGTATAGAACAATAAGTAAATTAAATAAACACCAAAAATTAAATGGGATGTAAATGTGACATTAAATTTAAACTTAATTGGAGGTAGGCCTACTCAATTAACAATTTACATTCATTATGAAATAAATAATCGACATTTCAAGTGTATATTAATATGGTGTAAATATGGTGCATTTGAGGTCTTTAGGCCTTACCATATGACATAAATATGACACATTTGATCCATATCAAAACCGGATGTGCAAAAAATATGTGTGATGATACAGAGGTCATTTGCTTGTGGAGTCCTCAGGACTGTAACCTTAGCCCCATGTCATTTTGTTCCTGCCTATGAATATTCATGTTGCGACTGTATGTATGATGTTTTCTTCTTCGGTTTTCCCTCCAGGGTGCTAACATCCTCCTCACCGACCATGGCGAGGTGAAGTTGGGTAGGTGGAACACGAAACAACTCATCAACTTGACAAAATTGCATTTATGTTTTTGTCTTCTCTGTCATGTAGCCGACTTTGGAATCTCTGCCCAAATCACGGCTACGCTGGCTCGTCGGATGTCCTTCATTGGGACGCCATACTGGTGAGCTCGCCTCCTCAGCCAAAAAAATTGTTGATATCAAAAAGTTGACTGACCACATTATCTATTTACACTCCTCCCCTCAGGATGGCGCCAGAGGTGGCAGCGGTGGAAATCAAAGGCGGTTACAACGAGCTGTGCGATATCTGGTCGGTGGGCATCACCGCCATTGAGCTGGCAGAGCTGCAGCCACCCATGTTTGAGCTCCACCCACTACGGTAATACAAATCATCATCATCATCATCATCATCATCATCATCATCATCATCATCTAATTCTGTTTTCTCTTCCCTAAGTGTCCTGTTTCTTATGTCCAAGAGTGGCTACCAGCCTCCCAAATTGAAGGACAAGGCAAAATGGTAACATTCAATGACATTCTAGAATTCCTGCTTTTCTTGAATGCAACATTAATCGCCCCATCAGGTTGTTTTGATGTCATGATTACAATATGGTGAGTTTACTTATGGATTTAAGTAAGTAAATTGAATGACTTTGTAGTTTGAGTTGATTGATGTCCATTGTGATTTTCTTCATTTGGTTGACTTTTGTGACTTTAACGAATTGAGTTACTTTACTGTTGGACTTCAGTGACTTTTGCTTCAGTGTCATTGTGACAGTATGACATTACTCGAAGTTGATGCACTGGTGTGAGGTGCTGTGTTAACTGTGTGCAGGTCGTCCATGTTCTACAACTTTGTGAAGGCTGTGCTGGTGAAGAACCCCAAGAAGAGACCGAGCGCCTCCAAGATGCTCTCAGTCAGTCATATGATCATCACCTGTACCTTGAAACCTTATATTTAACATACTAACCCTAGTTTGAAACAATAGCCCTGGCTTGAAACCGAAATTTGAAAACTCAACTCTGCCTTTAAACCCTCCTTTTAAATATAAACCCTGCTTGCAAGTTTGAATCCCTACTTTGAGCCCCCTATTTGCAACCCAAATGAAAGCCCAAACTGTTGTTTGAAACCCTAATTGGAAACCCTGAATCTGGCTTGAGGTGCTGCTTTGAAACTGTAACTGTTAGTTGAAACTCCAATTTCAAACCAGAACCCTTGGTTAAAAGCCTAACTTGAAAGCCTAACCTTGGATTGAAACTTTAATTTGAAACTGTCATTGGGAACCCTTATCACGCTAAACTGTGAGTAACACCCGACTTTGAAATCCTAATTAGTGTGAAACACTTAACCTGGATTCAAACGCTACTTTGAAAACCATCACCTATGTTTGAAACCTCAACCTTGACTTGAAGACTTGGAAGACTTGAAGATTTTAAACTCTCACTTTAGTTTGAAATCCTAACCGAAGCTTGAAACTCAAATATGAAGCCTCAACTCTTGCTTGAAACCCTAACCTTCATTCTGTATCATTCCAATTTTCTGGTCCATTTACATGCCCTTTCTTTTGGCCACTCAAACAACTGTTTGTCTGAATGTGAACAGTGCATCGCCACACACCACCGAGACATTTCAACGAACAACTCGATAACAATGGCAAAGAGCAATTAACGGGACAATCAGCAATGCAATACAATGGTTACTGGCGACTTGGCATTTTGTAAATAACGCCACTCGCCTGAGATTGCGAGACAAAATGACTTTTGTTGTGAAGTGTGTTCCGATGGGTATAACTATGAAAGTATACTTGAAATAGTTTTAGCCCTAGGTACTCAAAAAATCGCCAAGTTTACTTCACACTTGCTTGAACCTCAAATTTGAAACCCTTCTGAAAGCCCTGGTTTGATACGAACTTTGAACTCCGAACCAAGGCTGAAAACCCCATTTTCAAACTTTAACTCTGTCTTAAAACCATAACATTCAACCCTAACTCTGTTCTAAAACCTGAATCAGAAACCCTAACCCAGACTCAAAAACCTAATTTGAAACATTAACCTGAAACCCTAACTGTGACTCTTGCTTACCTTTATGGCTCAGCACATGTTTCTGAGCCAGCAGAGCCTGAGCCGAGCGCTGACTCTGGACCTGCTGGAGAAGTGTCGACACCCTGAGAATTTCTGCCCAGCAAATGATGATGACGAAATGGAGGTCTGAGATACGAACATAATATCATAACAAGAATTTGACTAGATTTTAAATTAATTTGAGGCCAAACAGGACCCCAAACTTGACTGTCTCCAATTGTATTTCTACACTGACAACATTTACTTCATTTGTTTGGATTGAAGGTGAGTGTGCCCGGATCTTTGAAGAGGATCCAGTCTATCAGCAAACACAACTGGGTAGAGAGGAAACACTCAGACACCAAGTGTAAGACAGCACACACTCATACAGAATAAAATGAATTCTTCATTAACTATTATATTATAAGGTATTTCCTGCAACATTTCAATGATTGTCTGAAACAGGACTTGAAATCTGGACCCTCAGATAAAAAAAAAGTCTGATTTCCATCGACTGAGCTTTCCAAGATCTACCCAGTTTTTTGTTCGACCACTCCAAGATAAACATAATCATAAGGTGATGGAATTCACCTGAACCTGAACTCAAGCTTCATGAGTGACTAATGACTTCAATGTTGGAATTTTGTAGCGTTACTGGTAGACTTAAATTACTTCATTGACGGAATTCAGTGGTTTTATTAATTAGACCACTTTGGTGACTCAGTGGTGTTCCACATCACTTCAATGAGAACCCCTGAACAAAGACTTGAACCCTGGACTCTAAATTTAAAAGTCTGATGCTAGACCGACTGAGTTATCCAGGCTCTTTGCTACTTTTGTCTCAGTGGTCATGAGCTCCATGGCTGCATTGTTGTACATGATTAAACCGTTTTTGTGAAAATCTTGATGCGGCCCAGAAACATCCCGACTATGTCCAACTGTCCCCAAGTTTCAATTAAGTTTGTGACCCCATGGTTGAAAGATTTTATTGATGGAGTTGATTGACTTTATTTGTGGGCGTTAATGACTTCATTCATGGACTTTCCAGACTTTCTCAGCAGACTCAAATGATTGCATTGTTTCTCTCACATTCCTTGCAATCCAGGACAAACATTCTGAAGAGTGAGTGTTAAAACTCAGAACTATGATCTGACAACAACAGGAAAATGTCTTGGACGTCAAGTTTTTGATATCAGATCAATTACATCGCCTGAACAGGGACTTGAACCGTGGACCCTCAGATTAAAAGTGTGATGCTCTACCGACTGAGCTATCCAGGCTCTGTGTGGACTTTCCAGACTTTCTTGGCAGACTCAAATGATTTCATTGTTTCTGTGCAATCAAGGACAAACATTTTGAAGGGTGAGTGTTACGACTCGCAACTGTCAACTGACAACAACAGAAAAATGTCTTTCATGTAAAGCTAACCATTACCAGGTCAACTGTATCGCCTGAACAGGGACTTGAACCCTGGACCCTCAGATTAAAAGTCTGATGCTCTACCGACTGAGCTATCCAGGCTCTGTGTAGACTTTCCAGACTTTCTTGGCAGACTCAAATGATTTCATTGTTTCTGTACTTGAAATCAAGGACAAACGTTCTGAAGAGTCAATGTTATGACTCAGAACGATCAGCTGACAACAACAGAAAAATGTCTACCACGTAAAGTTAACGAGTATCAGGTCAACTACATCGCCTTAACAGGGACTTGAACCCTGGACCCTCAGATTAAGAGTCTGATGCTCTACCGACTGAGCTACACAGGCTCTGTGCGACCTTTCTTGAAGACTCAAATGATTTAATTGTTTCTGCCATTCCTTGCAATTACGGACAAACATTCTGAAGAGTCAATGTTATGACTCAGCACGATCAGCTGACAACAACAGGAAAATGTCTTTCAC